TCTTAGATATTTCAGATTTGCAGCAAAGTGATATGCAAAATTAAACTTATAGTAACATAATTTTAGGGCATTGCCTTTACCCCAGACCAGTATCACACATATCTAAATCTCTTACCAAACAACATCAGGTAATTGTGAAACTTCATTATTTACTTAAACATATTTACATATAATGATAGGGTTGTATACTGTATTGTGATTGTCATGCAAGAAAATGAATAAATATATATGAATAATGAACCACTGACTGCCTATAATAATATGTTTCCTACACATGTACAATGATTGAATGTTAAATATAAACCACCAAATTAAGGAATTAATGGACTTCAATGTATATACCTGCCAAGTCACTGGCATGTGCACTGCCTATCCCAATATTGAAAATGTTTAAAAATCCACCTTTTAAAGCTTGAAGTATTAGACCCCTTCCTTAGAAAAGACCAGTATATTAAAAGGTAATGTTTTATTAGTGTAAATCCCATACTACTGATATTGATGACTTTGAATACTTGTGTACTGAATGACCTGCAATTAGCAGGCTTGACCTGAAATTAGACCATCAGAAAAAAAGGTATATCTGTTATATTTCACTTATCTTCTGATATATATTCACATCTAAATTAAGAAAAAAAGACATTTGTTTGACATTCTAGTTAAGATTTAATTATAGTAGTAGTGTACTAGAGAAAAGCCCAAGATTGAATCTTAATGAATTTGAAATGATACCACCTTCCTGTCCAAAATCTTTTTCTTCTGGGATTCCAACGTACATCATTTTGAATTTGTTGCTAAGGTAACTGGTAATCCATGTAACTACTAGTAACACTAGAGCAGTACTCATCTATCACACCTGAAGGATGATCCAAAACAGTCCCATTTAGAAACGTTACACGATACCCAGTGTCGTTTAAATGTTAAAGTCTACCCTTAAATACATGTAAATGTGTTTGAATTGAATTTGATAGTGTTTTTCTCCTACTATTTCATAACTGTCTAGATTCTCCCCCTGATATCCATCTCAGATCTTTACAGGATCGGGCCAGGGTACTCGGGGGTTTTTAAATTGATGGTATTGGTCAGAAATCGTGCTGGTCAACGGCCAATTGACCACAATTGACCGGTGATTAAGGAGGGCAATGCTGTAACACTCAGTAATATGGCTTGTCTGTATAAACTTTTAGAAACTGACCATAAGCTGTTGGTCGTTCCCCTATCCATTATCAGAAATATATACATTAGTTCAATTTCAATTTTTTAAGCAGCATATGAATGATAAAAATCAGATTGTTTTTTACTTATTTGTCTACAGTCAAATATGTATGGTTCGAAAAATAAAATATATCCTTATAATATTACCCAGGTCAGACCCCTACACCCACAGAAAAAAGGAAAAATTATGCAATCAATTTTTTACTTTAAATGGTTGATTTAAATTACCCTTAACGATCCCTAAAATCCATGGCCCAATTAGCTAGTATGATGCCCTTTCTATCAAGATCAAGTTTGTATTTAACATAATTGGTTTAAGAATTTAATTTCAAGGCCAGCTGTGTCTTGTCAATCTACAATTATCCCTGGTAGAGTTGAGAAAGTGTGTGTATTGCTGCCTGTGTGTAAGCTGCCTGTGTGTAAGCTGCCTGTCTTTCTACACACAACCCTTTGGTTTATACTAGGAAATGTTCACCAGAGTATGAGCCTTTTTTCCCCCTTCTCCGTAATTCGTTTGACAGTGAAAACTAGTACACAGTTTACTTTGGGTAGTTATTTCACCGTAGAGGGTTGAATAGGGATTTTAGGACTCCCAACAACTAAATTACTTACTGTTAGACTTTAAAGAGTTATGCCCCCTGGCAATAACAACTTAGTTCAATTTAAAGAACTGTGCCTGCCCAAGCATATATCAAATTATACATGGGATTTACCCGGTAATGCTATATAACATTTTCCTTGAGCCTATAGTATGGATGTCTGCAGTTTACTAGAATCAGCAGTAATCACCGAAACATCAACAATTAATAGATCAACATATTCTATAACTGTTAATGAGCTCAAAGGTTAGAAGTATGTCATAGTTTATCAGAAACATAGAAAACTCTCCTTTCAGTAATAACTTGCTATAATCATAAGATGACAGTAGTAGTTACCAATATTGACAGGTGTATTTTTGTCATTAGATGACAGTAGTAACTACCAATATTGACAGGTGTATTTTTGTCATTAGACGACAGTAGTAACTATCAATATTGACAGGTGTATTTTTGTCATTAGATGACAGTAATAACTACCAATATTGACAGCTGTATTTTTGTCTTAGACGACAGTAATAACTACCAATATTGACAGGTGTATTTTTGTCATTAGACGACGGTAGTAACTACCAATATTGACAGGTGTATTTTTGTCATTAGATGACAGTAGTAATTACCAATATTGACAGGTGTATTTTTGTCATTAGATGACAGTAATTATTACCAATATTGACAGGTGTATTTTTTGGAAGTGGTGTCAGTGCTGAAGGTTAAATATCTGACTTTTCTGTCTTTCAGAAGTTAAAATTCTGTAGATTTTATATTCGACAGTTCATCACTAGTTCTTGGTAGTGGTGTTCTGATTAATCAACTTTAAATACTATTGGTTAGTTGGGCTAATAAATTATTGATCATCCAGGATCAATTTTAGTTGTATTAATTATGTGTAGTTATTGAGATTTCAGTAGAGTGATTTATTATACTTCAAGTCTGTCTCCCTTATAGATACTAACAAGAGTGTAGGAGACAAAGCCTCCTGATGTCTTTATTTCCACCTGCTTTAACTTTCAAGCCCACTATTGGCCGCTAAGGACTGTACATTACAGATTCAGTGTTAGAAGGGAGGTTTTACATCTTAGGTCTTGTTTCTTATTACCCTAAGCGACTCATAAGTGACTCGCAGGACGTCTTTAAAAACATTATTATAATTGATCATTGGTTAGGTAAGGGTAACCAAAGATCGTTCATAAAATTCTGATTCCCAATACTAATTCTTGTTTACATAGAAATGGATATGAAAGTGTAGTCACAGCCATACATACAAAAGTTAGCAATTTACCACTACCGCTGCCATACCTTTCTGATAACAGGTTACCACAGGTTACCACTACCGCTGCCTTACCTCTCTGATAACAGGTTACCACTACCGCTGCCATACCTTTCTGATAACAGGTTACCACAGGTTACCACTACCGCTGCCTTACCTTTCTGATAACAGGTTACCACAGTTTACCACTACCGCTGCCTTACCTTTCTGATAACAGGTTACCACTACCGCTGCCATACCTTTCTGATAACAGGTTACCACTACCGCTGCCTTACCTTTCTGATAACAGGTTACCACAGTTTTCCGAAAACCACGATTCATTTTCTTGTCAAGGTTCAAGTTATTCAACACAAGTACAATCCATAAGTTGTTGGAATTGCAGAGTTTTTTTTAAAATGAATCACGTACACATATTACAGCCAAAAAATGTCAAGTAAAAATTTCAAAATGATCATTTGTATTTGAAATATATTACTGAGAGGATTAAAATGATCAGTGACTTACACAGTAATGATATGATCGCCAGTCAATTTAACAGACCAATATTTACTGAGGGACTTTGATTATGTACTAGTGTTATTAGTCTGTCATTATACAAGGTTATCAGGACACCTTAACACTGATCTATAGAAACAACTATAATACTGTTACACCGTCCTCTATTCAATATATTAATGGCGCTTCATACATATGAATGGTTTACTCTTTTTCGTGTAAACTATCTTGTGCAAACAAAACAAAACTACTCAAGTCGAGAGACCTTCAGACCGTTGCCACTTGAGAAATACCTTATTACAATTAAACTGCTCTTTTGAAAATAAAACTAAGAAAAAATATCATATTCCTTTTTAGTTTGCAAATATTTGAAATGAGAGTTCTAAATGTAGTTAAATGTGCATGGATTTAATTTCAAAGATGTGCAACAATGCTTCAGTCTCTAAGTGAAAGGCGAGGAGTAATATAAGATACGACTGTCTGGTTGTCTTTGTATCGTCTATGCAGTACTGTATGACACTATACCAAGGGGATCCATGTCTGTGAACACATAACAAAAGAATGTTCAATTCGTATTAAGTGACAAATTTTGACTGAACTTATGTGTTGAATGAACTGTATATTGTATGGATAAGGCCGTTTTGAATTGTTTGTTACAAGAGCCATGTTGTGATAATAGGAGATTATTTATTTTTACATTGCATATAACAGAAGACATGATTGACACAAACTGTTTGAATTTTATATGATAAGAAACTTAGTTTAATGTTTATTGTTGTGTGTAACAGGAAACAGGATTGGTCTAAATTAGTAAATATAGGCTTGTGTGTTATTAAATATGATTGGTCTAAACATATGCTTTTGTGTTACAAGAGACACGATTGGTCTAAATATATACTTTTGTGTTACAGGAGACACGATTGGTCTAAATATATACTTGTGCGTTACAGGAGACACGAATGTTCTAAATATATGCTTTTGTGTTACAGGAGACACAAATGTTCTAAATATATGCCTTTGTTTTACAGGAGACACGAATGTTCTAAATATATGCTTGTGTGTTACAGGAGACACGAATGTTCTAAATATATGCTTTCGTGTTACAGGAGAAACGAATGTTCTAAATATATGCTTTTGTGTTACAGGAGACACGAATGGTCTAAATATATGCTTTTGTGTTACAGGAGACACGAATGGTCTAAATATATGCTTTTGTGTTACAGGAGACACAAATGCTCTAAATATATGCCTTTGTTTTACAGGAGACACGAGTGTTCTAAATATATGCTTGTGTGTTACAGGAGACACGAGTGTTCTAAATATATGCTTGTGTGTTACAGGAGACACGAATGTTCTGAATACAAAATGTATATGCTTTTGTGTTACAGGAAACATGATTGGTCTAAATATATGCTTGTGTATTACAGGAGACACGATTGGTCTACTTCTGAACCTGGAGGACAAGGAACTGAAGTTTTCCCTGAATGGACAATGCCTCTCCCCGCACAAGGACCTGTTTGATCATGCAAAGTCTGTAATCAAGAACTTCGTTAATGTTTGTGTCATTGAACTTATGCTATGATGTGTCCACTCTGTCATCCTCTGTCCTTCTATCCTGTATCAACTTTTCCTTTAAAAAAAATCTTCCAAATTTCAATAATGAGTAGAGTATTCATAACTAATAAGCAGTCTGTACCTTGCTTGATTTAGAGCTATCAAGTTTATTCAGATAAAATACCTTGACATAGTTTTAAGGTCATAGGGGTCAAAGACGTTTTTTTTAAACTTCAAATAATTTCTTCTAAAAATTGATATTTGGCTGTAGCTTGATAAGGGTAACAGTTATTCAAGGTTTTTTTCTAAAAATAAAATAACATATAGGCACATGAGTAAAATGTATTGCGACCTTCCATCAAAAGTCTATAAGGTGTATAGTAATGATATTCAGTCTCTGATGTAAAATGGCTTGCTGAAATGACTTTATTCCATCTGAGCAGGTCTATATCAAACCTTCTGTGGAAGTATAACTACCCTATAAAGTATTACATGCAATATAGGTTCTCCTTGGAATAGGGGTATTAAGTAAGTTGTAATAAGGTACCTGATGATTGGATGCCTAGTAATTAATTACCCGGTAATTGGGTACCCATTAATTTGTTGCCTGGTAATGCTGTACATGGAACTTTGTTACCTGGTAATTAGGTACCCATTAATTTGTTGCCTGGTAATGCTGTACATGGAACTTCGTTACCTGGTAATTGGGTACCCATTAGTTTATTGACTGGTAACTGGGTACCAGACAGTTGGTTACTTGGTAAGTGGGAGAAGTAAAATCAATATACAAACTTAGTTAGAAACAGTGACCATTTGTAATAAGAAAATAGGAAATCCTTGGTATGATAAAGTTGTTAAGAACATTAACACAGTATTCGTGATATATCCAATTTATTAGCTCACCTGGTCCGAAGGACCAAGGTGAGCTTATGCGATACCGTGGCGTCCGTCGTCCATCGTCTGTACGTCAACAATTTCTTTGAACGACTTCTTCTTAACCACTGATTGGAATTTGACTAATATTGACTGGAAGCATCCCTAGGTGGTGGGGATTCAAAATTGTACAAATGGTTGGGCTGACCCCCCAGGGGGTTGAGGGGCAGGACCAAAAGCAGGCAATTTGGCTATATTGCTTTAAGCGACTTCTTCTCTGGAACTAAGAGATGGATATCCACCATATTGGACTGGAAGTATCCCTAGGTGGTGGGGATTCAAAACTGTACAAATGGTGGAGCTGACCCCCCACCCTTGGAGACAAAGTCCCTTGGTCATAACTTTGGAATGGTTGAGATCCCCTCCCCAAAACTATATATACAAATGCTTGGCATAAAGAGACGAATGCAGTCATGATATTAGAATAGACCCTGGGGTCTTACCAAAACCCCTACGGACCTAGTTTCTTAGTCACAGATTGGAAACAGTTGAGATCCCCACCCAAAAACCATATAAACAATTGCTGAGTATAAAGAAATGAATACACATATGCTTCCAGGATGGCCTTGGGGTCTGCCCCAGCCTTGGAGACTTAACCCCTGGGTCATAACTTCAAAATGGTTAAGATCCCCACCCCAAAACTATATATACAATTGTTGGGCATAAAGAGACTAATGCAGTCATGATATTAGAATGGATCCCAGGGTCTGCCACACCTTTGCAGACTTAACCCCTGGGTCATAACTTTGAAACGGTTGAGATCCCCACCCCAAAACTATAAATACAAATGCTGGACATAAAGAGATGAATGCAGTCATGATATTAGAATTGATCCTGGGGTCTGGTCCCAACCCTAGGGACCTAGTTTCACAGCTTGGAAACAGTTGAGATTCCCACCCCATAACCATACATAAAATTGCTGGGCATGAAAAATTTAATACAGATATGCTACAAGGATTGACCTTGGGGTCTGGCATATTCCTTACGATCTCATGTGGAGAATATTTTGCCATGATTGCTTAGATATCCAGGTGAGCGATACAGGCCCTCTGGGCCTCTTGTTACAAATTTGTGAAAAGAAATGGCCTTGACAGATATGCAAAGTCACATGGATCAAATCCGTTAGAACAGCAGCTTACAGTCACTTTATGTGTGTTGAATAATTAAAAAGATTGCTGATTTTCTAATTTCAGGGGAGGGTTTTTTGCTGCTGCCAGTTTTATGTCCTACCAACAATGTGAATTCAACTTTGGTGCCAGTAAGCCTTACAAGTACCCACCAAAGGATGTCCAGTTCAAGAGATTTAATGACTATGCTTCTCTGTCAGACGAGGACAAAATTATTTTACCAAGGTGATCTATTAGGAAACTTAAAGTTTTGTTTTAACAGGTTTTAAAGGGACATCATGTGAAAAGGCGTTTTTTTTTTAATGAATATATGTATTGTATGCACTTCCATTTATGTTACCTCGCTATCCCCATATTCATAGTCCGTTCCAAATGTCCAGTTTGACCACTTGAATTGTTCGGGAAAGCCCTGCTAA